TGGCTGTCCAGTCTCTTCTTAAAAACTTCCAGTGTTGGAGCATTCACCGCTTCTGGAGGCAGGTTGTTCCACTGGTTAATTGTTCTAACTGTCAGGAAGTTTCTCCTTAGTTCTAGGTTGCTTCTCTCTTTGGTTAGTTTCCACCCGTTGCTTCTTGTCCTGCCTTCAGGCGCTTTGGAAAATAGCTTGACTCCCTCTTAGTTGTATTCCAAAGTACAGTTTGAACAATTTCAAAAATAGGACACACGCAAGTGCTTCTCTTTTTTTTAAATGGGAATACTGGAACTGAAGTGGGCAGCTTTCTCTTTTTTTAAAATAAGAATACTGGAACTCGAGTGGGCAGTTTACACATAGTACAAATAAGTAAATGCTACACTATAGGTTATGCTAAACCAGGAGTAGTCAACCTTGGCTCTTTTATGACTCGTGGACTTCAATTCCAAGAATTCCTGAGCCAGCTTAGCTGGCTCAGGAATTCTGGGAGTTGAAGTCCACGAGTCATAAAAGAGCCAAGGTTGACTACCCCTGTGCTAAACCAAGGCCGTCCAGGAACAATAAGGTGAATGAGGAACATTTGCTAGATGGATTTGGGACATCTGTTCTAGAGGCTTATAAGGAAAAGAGGATTGCTAGGTGCAGAACAATCCCTCGGATTAAGATCCATATCTAGATTTGTGCTTGGCTTCAGAGTTGTCATTAGGACAAAGTGTTTGCAAAGCAGCTTTAATCTCCAATGGTAAAAATTCACTTAGCAAGATTGACTTTATATTTCCTAACTCCTTGATAAATTATGGGTGATTTACATTCGCATTTTAATAACAAGATCCCCAAATCTCGTTCTGGAAAGATTATTCAGTTGACAACCATATCTCCAAGCAGGCTTTTCTACCCGGCGCTATCAGCTAGTGTGCTGTGTAGTGTTTCATAGCCCACAGTGGTACCTTAACTTCTTTTGTATTATCCCCACAGCCTTCAAGCTACTTGAAAGCTCAAGTCAGAAGTTTCTACAGGGACTGGTGTATTTAATTGGCAACCTGCTAGGATTGGCCTTGGCTGTTTACAAGTGCCAGTCAATGGGGCTGCTGCCAACTCATGCTTCTGACTGGCTGGCTTTTATTGAACCACCTGAGGTAAGTGTGAACAGTATGAACTCTCCTCCCTTGGATCATCTCATCTCACTAGCCTGTGTGAGGAAAGGGGGAGGTTCAGTTAGACCAGGGCTTTTCAACCTTTTCACCCATTGTACCACTTTTAGGATATGGCAACATCCGAGTACCACCAGTCGCCTAGCAAGGTGTCAAAAACTTGACACCCCCCCCCCAAAAAAGGAAAACAGTGATAAAATATAGGTAGTCCTTGACTTACAACAGTTCGTTTAGAGACTGTTCGAAGTTACAATGGCACTGAAAAAAGTGCCCCCCAAGCCACAGCCGAGCAAGACACCTGCCTGCCCACCTGGCGGTGCTCTTCCTCCTGTCCGAGGTTTCCATTGTTGTGAGCATTTCTGTTGAGGATTGGCAGCGGGGGTGGGGGGTGTTTGGTTTTTATTCCCCCCATCTGCTGGGTGGTTGCAGCAGGTTTTGGTCACTTCACATGACCCTGGGACACTGTGACCGTCATAAATATGAATCAGTTGCCAAGCATCTGAATGTAAATCACAAGATCCTGGAGATGCTGCAACATCCCAGCTGATCGGCACTTCTTCTGGGCTCAGCGGAAGCGCCAGGATCAGTGCTGCTTTCCAGCTGATTGGCGCTTCTTCAGGGCTCAGCAGAAGCACCAGGATCAGCACCGAACTCCAACTGGAGCCTGGCGCTGATCCTGGCGCTTCCGCTGAGCCCTGAAGAAGCACCAATCAGCTGGAAAGCAGCACTGATCCTGGCGCTTCCGCTGAGCCCTGACAGCCATCTCTCGCTCAGGCTTGTGCGGTGCTGCCACCGGTTCAGCTCATTCCCCTCCCCTGCTACCACTTTCTAGGATGGTCGCGTACCACCTGCCAGATGCCAATGTACCACAGGTAGTACCTGTACCACTGGTTGAAAAGCCCTGGTGTACAGGACAGATTTCTTCGATCAAAGCTCTCAGGTCTCTCTTTGCGTCCTTAACTTCACAAAAGGGCAGTATTAGATGATTCACACGAACCCAGATCTAATCCACGCTGTTAACATTCTCTTGCTTAGTCTCTGTTTAAACTCTTAAGTCTCTGTTGATCCTGTTTAAGGGTAGCCTAATTTTCAGATTGCTGACTTGTGGTTTGTGACTCACAGTATTTTCTGTCTTCTGCCTAGCGTATGGAGTATACAGGCGGGGGTCTCATCTTATGACCTGACCCCATTTCCAGAAATCAACTGCTGCTCTAGGCGTCTGCCTTGCGATTGTGAATTATTCTTCCTTCTGTTGACTCCAAAACATGCTGGATTTTAACTGCATGTTGCTGCATTGTGGAACAGTAGGAAGCATTTACAGAATGTTACCCAGAACAAGAAGGACTGATGTGCTTTGGAGGAGTTGAAGCAAAAGACTTGCCTTAGTAAATTTCCCTTCTGTTAAAAGCAAAATAAAAATGTTAACTTTTAAATGTGTTTAGTGCTTCACTGAAGTTCTACCATCAGAAAATCCATTTTCCTATAAGGCCCCTGAAGGCAGGACAAGAAGCAACGGATGGAAACTAATCAAACAGAGAAGCAACCTAGAACTAAGGAGAAACTTCCTGACTGTTAGAACAATTAACCAGTGGAACAACCTGCCTCCAGAAGTGGTGAATGCTCCAAAACTGGAGGTTTTTAAGAAGAGACTGGACAGCCATTTGTCCGAAACGGTATAGGGTTTCCTGCCTGAGCAGGGGGTTGGACTAGATGACCTCCAAGGTCCCTTCCAACTTTACTATTATTATTATGTATATAATACTAGAAGTGCCCAACATTGCAAGATGACCCAGGTTATATACCAGTGTTTCTCAACCTTGACAATTTTAAGGCATGTGGACTTCAACTCCCAGAATTCCACAGCCAGCCTTGCTGGCTGTGGAATTCTGGGAGTTGAAGTCCACATGCCTTAAAATTGTCAAGGTTGAGAAACACTGTTATATACGGAGCACTTCACTTATTTGGAAATTATGCAGAAACAGGTGTGCCCAGAAAGGCATCTGTAGCACTCCCAATATCAAAGCTAAGAGTACGAGGCTAAATGCATGCATGGTCTGACTTGAACGTAAAGTTAATTCATAGGTAATTCTAATTCTTGATAAAAAAAAATTGATTTTATTATCCTAAAGCTGACTAAAAAGTGTATAGGCGTCTGCTTGATGATCTCTTGTGGGAAATATGGAGCTGGGACATTTTATGGGATTCTCATTGTTTATCAGTTATGTAAGAGCCATCAATGAAAATTTTGGAAAGTTTCATGGAGAACAGTGGGGCAGCACCGTGGCTCAACAGTTAAGCAACGGGTGGAAACTAACCAAAGAGAGAAGCAACCTAGAACTAAGGAGAAACTTCCTGACAGTTAGAACAATTAACCAGTGGAACAACCTGCCTCCAGAAGCGGTGAATGCGCCAACACTGGAAGTTTTTAAGAAGAGACTGGACGGCCATTTGTCCGAAATGGTATAGGGTTTCCTGCCTGAGCAGGAGGTTGGACTAGATGACCTCCGAGGTCCCTTCCAACTTTATCATCATCATCATTATTATTATTATTAGGAGCTCCCGTCCCAATTCTGCCAACCTAGCAGTTTGAAAGCAAATGTAAGTAAATAAATAGGTACCGGTTCAGTGGCCACATGACTGTCAAAATGTCTTTGGACATTTTCTGACTCAGTGGCCTTGAAAATGGAGATGAGCACCACCCCGATAGTGAGCAACGACTAGCGGAGTAAAATCCACAGAGACTCTTTTACCTTTACAATGGAGAACAAATAGCTACTCAAATGTTCACGTACATTACCTAATTCTTAAGCCACGGATACAAATTTACTGGGGGGGGGGGAATGATAAACTTGTTCTACAACAGCCTGTTCGCATTAGTCTCAGAATCATGTTTGTATGAACTAGACCAGGGCTTTTCAACCTTTTCACCCATTGTACCACTTTTAGGATATGGCAACATCCGAGTACCACCAGTCGCCTAGCAAGGTGTCAAAAACTTAATGACAAAAAAACAAAGGAGAAAAGTGATAAAGTACAGGTAGTCCTCGACTTACAACAGTTCGCTTAGTGACTGTTCGAAGTTACAATAGCACTGAAAAAAGTGCCCCCCAAGCCACAGCCGAGCAAGACGCCTGCCTGCCCACCCAGCAGCGCTCTTCCTCCTGTCCGAGGTTTTCATTGTTGTGAGCATTTCTGTTGGGGATTGGCAGCGAGGGTGGGTTGGGGAGTGTTTGGTTTTTATTCCACCTGTCTGCTGGGTGGTTGCAGCAGGTTTTGGTCACTTCACATGACCCTGGGACACTGTGACCGTCATAAATATGAATCAGTTGCCAAGCATCTGAATGTAAATCACAAGACCCTGGAGATGCTGCAACATTCCAGCTGATCGGCGCTTCTTCTGGGCTCAGCAGAAGTGCCAGGATCAGTGCTGCTTTCCAGCTGATTAGTGCTTCTTCAGGGCTCAGCAGAAGCACCAGGATCAGCGCCGAACTCCAGCTGGAGCCTGGTGCTGATCCTGGCACTTCCATTGAGTCCCGACAGCCCCAAAGAAGCGCCGATCAGTTGGAAAGTGGCACTGATCCTGGCGCTTCCGCTCAGCCCTGACAGCCCTGCAGCTCCAGCCATCTTTTAGGCTTATGTGGTGCTGCCACTGGTTCAGCTCAGTCTCCTCCCCTGCTACCACTTTTCTAGGATGGTCGCGTACCACCTGCCAGGTGCCAATGTACCACAGGTGGTACCCGTACCACTGGTTGAAAAGCCCTGAACTAGACCACTGAATGCAGGTTTTCTTTTCAAAATGTGTACGACGTAAACATATGCCGCTCTTTATTTTAACTGCTTTTTATAAATGATAACCAAGGCTGTAAAGTGGATGAAATGTTACATAATGAATACACGAGCAAGTGGAGCCAATTATGCACAACTGCTAAAGTAAAAATCGTATATAAAATGTTTTATTCTTTACATAATTCAAGAAGCAAAAAAAAAATCACACTCCCAAATCTGATGCGATGTAAACAAGGTTGCACCCTGAATAAATTAAAAAAAAAAAAAGTCTCAGCCAAAATAAGAGAGAGGTCTTGTGAAATTCTCTTTTAAAAAAATAAAATGAGAGGCTTGAGATGTGTCTTTTAAGGCTACCCCGAGGGAGTGGTCCCTGTATATTCTATTCTTGAGCAAGAGGTACCAGGAGGAGCAGACATCCATCACTGAAATTAGATGGGACAAAAATAGACCAAAGCACCTTTCCCTAAGTTTGCTTCTGCAGAGGTAAGGAAAAACTCCATCCCAACACTTATAAAAGTAAGCTGTATATCCTTGTCACTGACATCGAAGAGAGCAACCTTGCTTGGCACAGAAGATGTGGCATTAATTTTCTTCTTATCCAAGCTTGGGGGGGGAAGAGGTGGACCTCTTCAAAAGCAAAGAGGGCAATTTGGAAAATCAGAAAACCCTGTTCTTCGGGATAGAAATCCTGTCCCCATCAGCGTGTAAGGACAACGTATGTCAGCTGCATGCTGCCTAGCAATTGGTTCTACAGAATATCTATCAAATGAGGAAAAGGCAGCTGCCACTTTCCTTGACTCAGTAGAAGTGCGAAGGCCAGATGGAAAAGATGTTTCCCCATCAATATGCTGCTTCCACCCTAACTTGGGGATCAGCCATTCTCTCCCCTTGTGGGCAAACGGTGTATCTGATTCTCAGAATATCACGGGGGATCAGGGTTAAGCACGCTGAAAAGTGACTTCCAACTTTCTAAGTCCTTATTGTGGCCTTGATTTCAGTGGGAAGGAAAGCAAAGAGACTTTGGTGCGGACCAGGAGAAAATAGCACAACGAAGGATGGATTTCCCTTTCTTCTAAGTCACCCAACAGTATCTCCTTTCCCTTCTTGTTCCTCTTTTAACATGATAATAACGTGTAACAGCTTCTCCAGCTGGGCCAAACCTGCTGTTCCAGCGGATGGATGCTGTCACTCCTTTCCTGATCTTTTTGCTTCTCTTAATGCCCTGCAGAGTTACTACTCGCCACACGGCTCCTACATTTCTTGAGAGGCTGACAGAGCACAATTTCCTACCTACCTCTAATTTCCCTCCCGCAACAAGCTTGCGAAGGTTCTAGCGTGTAGCTCTAACTCGATGGAAGCTGAAGAAGCTGCCAACTATCCATCCTCCAAACACTGGGGGCGGGGGGGAACACCCAATTTGAAGACCCTGAATTGCCACGAGAAATGAAAGCAAACAAATGTGGCGGTAGTAGCTGGTCTCCTTGGGAGATCCAAGTGGCACGTGGGAACAGGTAGGAAGCAAGTATCAATCTGAACTCAAGTTCGTCAGGAGGAAGACCTCCCATCCTCTAGGAATAGATGGTGATGACCTCGCTGCCTCCGCCCCGTACAAGCAGCACACGCTCCAGCCCTTCGGTGAGGACCTCCAGGAATTCCATATCTGCGGGTGGAAAAGAGTCAAAGGAACAACACAACAGAGCCATCTCCGCTCCTTCCTGTGCCCAGCAGAAAAGGATACAATTTTCATCACCTTCGGGGTTTCGTGGTGGCCCAGGCATGTTAAGCAGCACAAGCTTGGCCTCGTGGGACTTGTTGACAATAACTTCGTTGAGCTTGACAGCCGTGTGCATACGTCGCACGTTAGACTGATCCCTAAGTTGGGGGTAGGAAAAAGAGTATTAGCAAGAGCAGGGCCCATACAGAATGTATCCATACAGCCAGCTTTACCAGGATATCTAATCTGCAGCCTAGGATTGGCTTGTGAGAAAATAAGGTATTCGTGGATTAGAGACACAAGCACAGATCCTTCCTAAAAGAACAGGGAATGACATGGTCATTGCAGAAAAGCAAACTCATAGTACTAGCAAGAATTTCTAATGGACAACTTCTAATCCAGATCTGTTTAACTTGATGTCTGATCCAGTACAATGCCCCTCCAGTTTTGATCTTCCAAGGAAAAACAGTTGGACAACGTTCAACCGAATACAGACCAACCATGGCAGGTGCCAATATTGGAAATACAAATGGAGGTTGGTTGATAATACTGTGACCCAGGGAATGTCCTGCAAACTTTACATCATACTGCAACGGAATGCCCTCTCAGAAAGTTCCCTGGATTCCTGCAAGAACTATATCATTTTGAGGGATCTGCTGTCCAATGGCTAAATGATCTATCCAGATGTAGGCTTAGTCACTGTAATAGCTGCTCGTACATAATTTAATTTTATTCATAATTCTAGTCATCGTTCGTATTGTGTGTTTTTAAAATAATTTACTGTACTGGTGTTTTATATTTTGATACACATCTTGTAGAGATCAACCCTGACTGCTCTTTAGAAGGCCAGATCCTGAAGTTGAAACTCAAATACTTTGGCCACCTAATGAGAAGGAAGGACTCACTAGAGAAGGGCCTAATGCTGGGAAAGATTGAGGGCAGTAGAAGAAGGGGACGACAGAGAATGAGGTGGCTGGATGGAGTCACTGAAGCAGTAGGCGTGAGCTTAAATGGACTCCAGAAGATGGTAGAGGACAGGAAGGCCTGGAGGAACGTTGTCCATGGGATCGGGATGGGTCGGATACGACTTCGCAATTAACAACAACAACAACAACACATCTTGTATGCTGATTTTGTGAATCTTATGCACTAATGATGTTATGAACTAAGGCCATACGAAATAAATAAAGGAAGAACTTGGGTAGATGCTGAAGATGGAGAGCATTACTTGTGGGAAATAATGGGATCTATGGTGGAAAAAGCAAAACAAATCATTTAGAATAAAACACAGAATAGTGGTAAGATCAGGGTTAGGGTTAGGCCTGGTTGTATATCACTTTCCAAGAAGAGTTTGGAAGCAGAATAGTGGACAACTAATTAGGGACAGTTTAATGACAGTAGAAGTATATATTAGAAACTAGCTGTACCCAGCCACGCGTTGCTGTGGCTCAGTCTGGTAAAAGCGTGTTGCTTTTACGTCCAACAGATGGCGCTGTTTTTCAAAAAAGCATGTTTTTACCTGTCACAGGTGTGACATCTATATAATAGTAGGTATATAAAAACACGTGCGTATTCGAATGCAACGTTGTTTCAAAATTTCAAAGCAATCGGTGAAGAACTTTCGGAGATTTAAGATTTTGAACAAACGAACATTTACATTTTTATTTATATAGATAACCCAGGAATTGATATCTTACGGACGCATATTGAGCAGATCTTGGAAACCCTCCAGGGTCTTGAGTTTGTGTCCATGAGAAGCCATATATTTGTCCTTGGTCCAGGTCATGTGCACCTTCTCCTGGTAGGTCTCCGTCTCTTCATCATCATCTGAGCCAATGCTGGTCAGCCGCAACATTGAGTTCCTGTCTTTCACAAGCTGGGCCTATAAGGGTGGCATCACTGATGCTTTAGTGAAAAGGAAACCGAAATCGGTTGCTCTTTTCAACCTATTTTCTCCCACCTTTGTTTCAGCCCGGTTCACCTCACGTTCTCGTTCTGTTTTAGAGAGGCGCATTTGGCGCAACATCTGGGAACGTTGCTCCATCATCAAAGTGCGCTCATAGGTGTAGGCAGAGATGTCGCTGTCGTGCTGCAAGAGAAAAGAAGGGACAGCTGATACTGGAAACTCTCCCAACCTCTTGCTATGTCCAGCATTCTTCCTTCACTCATAAACTTTTGCCAGATTTCAACCAATGGCACATCTGCATATAGAGGGACTTCTCTAGGAATATGCATGTCTACAGGCATTCTGTGTAAAATAAGATTAGCCAGCCTTATTTCCTTGAAAGGGAACATATTTTTTTAAACATCTGTTTTTGATCCTCATTCCCGTGGTGAAAGAAGTCAATTTGTACCTTGGGGACAGGTAGTGGGCAATACTAAAATAACAAGAATGAGTATGAGTGTGGCTTCTATTAGATATGTCTCTAATCCCTTCTGTCCCGTTAAATATATCTCTGTAGATTAGATATATCCCTAATCCCTTTTTCCTCATTGGATACATCTCTATCCATTAGATGTGTCTCTAGTCCCTTTTTCCCAATTAAATATGTCTCTGTCCGTTAGATACAAGTAGTACTTAATAATAATAATAAAGTTGGAAGGGACCTTGAATGTCATCAAGTCCAACCCCCTGCTCAGGCAGGAAACCCTATACCATTTCAGACAAATGGCTGTCCAGTCTCTTCTTAAAAACTTCCAGTGTTGGAGCATTCACCGCTTCTGGAGGCAGGTTGTTCCACTGGTTAATTGTTCTAACTGTCAGGAAGTTTCTCCTTAGTTCTAGGTTGCTTCTCTCCTTGATTAGTTCCCATCCGTTGCTTCTTGTCCTGCCCTCAGGCACTTTGGAGAATAGCTTGACTCCCTCTTCTTTGGGGCAGCCCCTGAGATATTGGAACACTGCTATCATGTCCCCCCTCGTCCTTCTCTTCGTTAAACTAGACATACCCAATTCCAGCAACCGTTCCTTATATGCTTTAGCCTCCAGTCCCCTAATCATCTTTGTTGCTCTTCTCTGTACTCTTTCTAGAGGCTCAACATCTTTTTTACATCGTGGTGACCAAAACTGGATGCAGTATTCCAAGTGTGGCCTTACCAAGGCATTGTAAAGTGGTATTAACACTTCACGTGATCTTGATTCTATCCCTCTGACTTACAATAATTCAGTTAGTGACCATAAAAAGTTGCGATGGCACTGAAAACGTGACTTATGACCCTTTTTCACACTTAACGACCATTGCAGCAGGCCTATGGTCATGTGATCAAAATTCGGATGCTTGGCAACTGAGTCATATTTATGATGGTTGCAGTATCCTGGGGTCATGTGATCACCTTTTGCAATCTTCTGACAAGCAAAGGCAATGGGGAAGCCAGATTCACTTAACAATCATGTTACTACCTTAACAACTGCAGTGATTCCCTTAACAATAATGACAAGAATGGTCATAAAATGGGGGCAAAACTCCCTTAACAAATGTCTCACTGAGCAACAGAAATTTTGGGCTCAATTATGGTTGTAAATCAAGGACTACCTGTATACCTCCAATCCCTTTTTTCTTATTGGATACGTTTATATCCATTAGATATGTCTCTAATTTCTTTTTTCCCCATTAGATATGTCTCTATCCGTTAGATGAAGCCGTAGTGGCACAGTGGTTGGAATGCAGTATTGCAGTCTAATTCTGCTGACTGCCAGCATTTTGGCAGTTCGATCCTGACCTGCTCAAGGTTGACTCAGCCTTCCATCCTTCCAAGGTCGGTAAAATGAGGATCCAGATTGTTGGGGGCAATATGCTGACTCTGTAAACCGCTTAGAGAAGGCTATAAAGCACTGTGAAACAGTATATAAGTCTAAGTCAGGGGTGTCAAACTCAATTTCATTGAGGGCCGCATCAGCATTGCGGTTGCCCTCAGGGGGCCGGATGGGTGTGGCCAGGGTGGGTGCGGCCTACTGGGTGGGCATGGATGGAGTGGGTGTGACCTACTGGGTGGGCATGGCTAGATCTACATCATTCGCATCAAGGGTGCCTGTGGGGGCCTGGGCAGGAGTGGGACAGATCTGAGGGTCTCTGGCAGAAGGGGGTGGGACCAGGGCAAGGGCCAAGGCATGGTCCACTGGAGGAGCCTCACCGTTCCTCTCAGGCCATGCGGGGGGGAGGGGCTGGATGGTGGTGTGGGCTACCCGGAGCCCTGGGCAGCAGAGGCCAAACGCCCAGCCTGGCCCTCAAGCACCTGTGGCACCAAGTCCAGCCCCACTTCCCCAAGGGGGCACCCAGCTGCACTTACCTCCTCCTCAAGGCTGCTGTCTCTGTGCTTGCTCTCCTTAGCCAGGTTGCTCATGGTGGGTACAAGGGCAAAGTCAAAGGGAGGCCCATTCCCTCTCCATGGGAGGAGACCCGGCTTTGTATCCAAAGCTTTCTTAGCAATAGGATGGGAGACCCCCAGGATAGTCCAGGAGGAGGGGGCAAGGGGATGGTGAAAGGGCAGCAGGGCAGGACTAAGGTAGGACTTCCCTCAGACCCTCCCTCTCCTTCTTTCCTTCCTTCTTTCCTAAGTACAGAGTGGTGGGAAAATATTTGAGATGAGGGGAGAAAAACAGGCAAGAAACGCAGCTGGGGAGGTGTCACCCCAGCACCCAGCATGCACCCAGGGGGCGGGGCCGACGCAGCAGGGGCTGGTTCCTCGCTGTTTCCAGACGGCCTTATGGAGCTAAGACTGAATGTGTTTCAGCATAGATGGCCACCACAAAATTGTACACTGGCTCCCGGCCGGCCTGGGCCGGGGCCAAGGCAGTGGGGGCCGTTCCCTCACTGTTTCCAGGATGGCTTCACGGGCCACATGAAACCACTTCGCGGGCCACATCCGGCCCCCGGGCCTTGTGTTTGACATGTCTGGTCTAAGTGCGATTGCTACAGTTAAGATATGTTTCTAATCCCCACAGTATTGTGTCACTCACCATTTCTACCACTTCCACCTCTGCCTCAATACGTAGGTGATACAGAAAGGTGGCCAGATCCTTCTTCATCTGTATGCTATTGTCCTCCAGTTGGGCTACTGTAAAGATGCGGATTTTGCATTTACGCCACACCTTTGAAGCAAGGAGAAGGGGAATCAGTAACTCCGCCTACCACTTTCATGTCTACTCCAGTGGTGGCGAACCTATGGCACGCGTGCCAGAGGCGGCACTAAGAGCCCTCTCTGTGGGCACATGCACCATGCCCCAGAGATGGCAACCGTCCCTCTTCAACCAGCCACCCGCTAACTCGCCGAGGTCCCACGCGGCCAGATGCATCCCAGCACGGCTGGTTTCCCTCCCCCCCTGTCCCATCCCTCCGGGCCTCGCATGCTCTCCTTTTCCCAGGCACGACCCATTGCATCGCCTCCTCAGCTGTCGGCCGGACCGTTCAGCTCAGAGGCGGCTTCTCTGAACTGCTGGGGGTGGGCTGCGGAGCCCCAGAATGTGCCAGTTGAGGGGCCGGCAGGCTGTGGCTGCTGACAGACACTGTCGGCCCCCATGCGCTCGCTGGCCTGTGTGCGAGGACGATGGTGTCAGGCAGCAGCCGCCCCGGCCCCTGCCTTGCCTTGCCCTGCGACAATGGCACCCCCGCCCTGCCTCGCTTCACCTCACCTCACCCCACAGGATGAGCCTACTGCCCACCGCCCCACCTGCCAGAGACCCCCTGGATCTCCCCCAATCCTACCCGGCCGCCACAGGCGTCCCTCCCCACGAGCAACATCAAGGTGACCATGCCCACCTTGGCCACACCCACCCAGTCTACCATGACCACCACAGCTACGCCCACCCAGTGGGCCACGCCCACCTGGCACCCCGGAGATAAATAAGTGGGTTTGGGGTTGCAATTTGGGCACTCGGTCTATAAAAGGTTCGCCATCACTGGCCTACTCTGTATCTCAGCCATGCCCGCCCATCACCACCTTGTGCTGCTTGAGAAGAAAGGGGAGGAGCATCAACATCCCTCCATCGTGCACAATCCACCAGACATCAATGTTGCCCTCGGAAAAAGGCTCTGCGTTGCTAGGGAAAAAAGCCACATTCTTTGCCACGAGCAAGGCCAGGCGGGCAGCTGTAGTCACGCGGACAGTGCCTGGAGAAGAGGAAGAGGAACTCATGCAATAAGGCTCAGTTGACCTCTTGCCCCACGTATCTCGCCCCGTTAGGGAAACCGTACCAATAAAAGTCTTCCAAGCACGGGCATCCTCACTCTGACGCCAGGCGCTCGGCCAGCCCATCACCACGGTGTTGTGCTTCATACCACCCAGTCCGCAAGACTGAATGAGGTGGGAGATGCCCTCTCGCACCTTGGCAGCCACCACGATCTGGCAGAAGCCTTTCACACGTTCTGCCTCCATCAGATGTTTGAGGGTCTGAAATAACATAAAGCTGCTCAAAGGTCACGCTGCAAAAAGCTACTCGGCATTGCAAACAAGAGGAAACTTCAGGGTAATGTAGAGCTATGACAATTTGCATCTAAAGATGGTCCTTCAGACTTGTAATAATAATAATAATAAAGGATGTTATAGATTTGTTATTCTAATAGTTGATTAATGTTAGATAGAGTATGGTTATTGTA